GGTATTATTCCCCCCCCCCCCCCCAAAATAAGGTATTTTTAACTTTCTCCAGTGTAGTTTCAAGGAAATCCAGAATAGAATATACTTCTAGCAGCTCTCACTGTGAATTCTGGTCTGAAGCAACTTGCCTATAGGCAGTGGTACCTGCTCTGTCTCTGTAATTTCTAATACATCTGTTCTGTGGATAGATATCTGAACTGTTTTTTCTGGCTTTTTCCAGTATTTGAAAGACCCTAGCATGCCTGTTTTAGAGCTGTTGGACAACTATGCCGAGGACGATCCCCCCGATTCCTTATCATCTGTTGTGTTTTGTGGAGAAGGAAGCCAAGCCTGCGGCAGCGGTTTGGATGGTCAAGCTCATTCACGCAGCATCTCCAGCGACAGCGAAGTAACTGGAGCAGCGCCCTAGTGAGAATGCCTGTGCCAAGCCTTTGCAGAGGCTCCTGCCCATGAGCAGCGCTGTGTGGCTACTGGCAGGACAGACGATGAGCTCTGGACAAAATGAGGCCACTGACAAATCCCCAGCGAGATGTTGCTTCCCGAGAACAGCGCGGACCCTGAGCCTGTGTTTAAATGGTTTCTGCTGTGCGACAACAGCAATTGTGTTCTGCCAAAGAGACTTAAAAGGTGGAACGTGAAAGGGAAACGAACACTAAAGACAGACAGATGGTTATAAAATGGTTATATTAACATCATCATATCTCCCACCTCAAATTGAAATAAAGCTTTGAGAAATAATGGCACTTTATGGTAGGATGTAGTACAACCTGGCATTTCTGTTTTGTTGCCTTATTTGTGAAGCACGCAACGTGTATTATATCCACCCTGGTATGCTTTTCTGAATCATTGCAGTCTCCTGTGGCAGCTTCTTCCCTCCAGATAAAAATGGCAATCTAAAAAGAAATTTTATAGTACTTTACTCTCCTCAGGATGAACCTGTGCAAAGAACTGCTCCAAGAAAGGCTTCCTAATATATGCCTCCTAACACATTCATGAGAAGCATTAATCTTCTGCTCCTGCGGTGAGATAATTGTTCTTCACAGCAAAACAAACTTAAAATAATTTTGCTCAGAATTTATATAACATGTATCAGTAATTATCAGACACTAAAATCTCTTGTTGATTGTCACGTTAGTCCTGCAAATGAAAAGTTGACTGAGGGTTGTGTTTTGAGTCCCTTGAAGCAGAAGACTACAAGTTAAGCCTCACATTGCAATCCTGGTGTCTAATAAAGCACAAACAACAAATGAACCACTTCTGTACTAAAAAGATTGTTTTTATTTGTTTGACTTTTGTCCTGGGTTTGATACAAATTGTTAAAAAAAAAAAAAGCTTGTTTATTTGCAAATGACTTGTTCAACTTACTTAGGTCTGTTAATGAACTTGGTCACTGTCAGAGCTGTGGGTTATCTGAGGTAATGCTGTTCCACCCCTGCCAGGAATACACAAGACTAGCATGAAAAAATCAGTAACGTTTTTTCCAAGAGCTTCACGAAGTTGTTTCCTCATAGAACTAATCTAATTGCTTGTGATTAGGCAACATGCCAAGACAACATAGTTATCTGAAGACTTAGTCATACTTCAAGTCTGGTAAGAATTTTCAAGTCAGCCACAAGCTGTGTAGTACCTGCTTTTAAGTTCATCCATGTTCTTTTTATATACTGTGCTGTAAACAAACGAAGGACCACAGGCTCGCGAAAGGAACAACCTAAATGCATAATAGAGGGCATACATACATGAATAAGGAGGCAGTTAAAACAGCTCCTGTGAATATTTTGCAATACAGCATACAACTTCCTGAATAAGCCCTACGCATCTGTTAGAGTTGTTACTAAGTATTTTTACAGTTACACAAACAGGCCAAAGTTAAAAACCTTTCGTTGGGAGGAACTCAAAGGGTTATCATTTTCACAACTGGCAACTGTAGCAGGCCAAGGCATTACCTAAAACGAGCCATCCCTATCCACCTTGGCCCGTGCGGGAACTAGCTGTGGTGTAAAAGTGGGCCTCGGGACATTCTGAATGAGGCCTGCATGGTTCTTACACTATGCCTGTTTTCAGCTTAGGGTACTGGAAAAGTTACATGGTCAAAGCTGTCTCTTTTCTCCTCTTAGCAGCCATATAGACAGCATGACCCTTCCAGTTCTGTAAAACCAGAAGGGATGGTCAAGAAATACTTGCAAGAAAGCAAACTTCTGGTAGGAAACACAGGTAACCTCAGAAAGAAGCTCTTGCCCTGCTCTTAAGAAAACTGTTTTTTTAAGCGGGAACATGCATAAAAGCAGGCTGCAAGGGCTCTTCCAGAGTCAAGCAGGTAGCTTCTGCTGTTCAAGTGTCAGGTGCAAGATACTGTAAGTGGGATTAGTTACAGGCTACACTTGTTTCTCTCTTAGTAAAAGAGCCAACAAACATTCTCAAGCTCCTAAGCAAGAAACTGACAAACCTGAAAACAAAAACCTTGGTTTTACTTACTAGCTGGAGTAAGACTTGCTTAAAGGGACCTGAAAACAAAAACCTTGGTTTTACTAGCTGGAGTAAGACTTGCTTAAAGGTCAGTACTGCTTGAGCGATTAAGTAAGTAAGTGGAGTACTACTGTACAATTACCTTGTGAAGTTCACTATTTTGAGAACATAAGATCAAGTTTATTGCAGTTTTCTGAAATTACAACCAGACAGACAACTTACGTACAAAGCTATGATTAACACCAGTGAATATATCGTAACTCACTGCAGGACGGTGAAATCAGGATGAAGTTAGTCTAGCCAGTAGCACAATTTCAGCTGCAGTATTTGCTTCATATTCTGTCCACTGGAGAGATTCCCACAAGGGAGCAATTAGATGACTAACAGTACACAGTAACCATGCACAGAAGTTACGTTCTGCAGTTTACTACCATTTGGTCAGCAATCTTGATACATGGAAAGTTACAAAAGCTTTTAGACACAAGGTAGATTCAAGTGCTTTAAAAACCACATAAGACTCGTAAGATACGGAAGTCACCAACAGCAAGATGAGTGTACAAGATCAGTCCAAAGCTATAAAACATCATTGTTCTCCCTTTCTGTGTACTCCAGCTAGAAGAAACCGGATTTCAATAATGGAAGCTTTCCCATAAAGTGCCCATGAAATTTAGGAGGTAAATACATTTTAACTGGGGCAAATGGCAGTCCTAAAACTGGCAATTACTTCAAAGTAAGATTGTGAGCAATAAATACATCTACTATATCCCCGCTTGAAATGCTTGCCTTTTAAATAGAAAAGGTGATAGGCAGCAGGATAACTGTTCATTTATCAGCAAAAAGCTTCCCCCGAAGAAAATTATGCTAGCATAATTTTAAAGATGCTAGTCTGACTCTCATTTATTCTTTATATTCCTTAAGTACGACTGGCATCAGTTTGTAGGGGGTTTTTATTCCAATATCAGTAAATACATTAAATATTAATTGGTATCTACTACACCGAACAGCATGAAATTAATTCTAAGGACTGTGGTGCTACCAGATGTCTTTTGTGCTATAGCAATCAGAAGTCAAGACCAGTTTGATTTGCCATGCAGAACCTGCTTAATATAGGGCCTTGTTTAAAAATTCATAACCTTTTACAAAAAAATAGCTACTTTATATTTTTCTGAACAGTTATATAAAAGTCTTAAAATCAGCTCTTATCTCAGCAAACGACAGAATTTACCCTCGTTAAATACAGGCGTAGCTGGGTCACCCCCATGCGCTGACTACTCCCGCAGGTTACACAGGCAGCCCTTGCAAAATCGGCTCTAGCTCACCTATGCATAAAAGTAACAACCCCTTTTACAGGGTACGGGCTTTATCCTGCTCGCTCACTAGTAGTTCCACTGAAGTCTCTGACACAGGTGAAGGTTTGGAAGATCAAGTCTTAGGAGCTGATGGAAACCCACGTATTTGAAGAAATAAGCCTGCAGATTTCAGAAAGCAAGCCTGACATTCCCTTTGTAAGATATATACAGTCATATGTACATATTCACAAATCTGTCCTGTGAAAAGAGGGAGCTTATTACAGAAACTGTAATTCGTCTCGGTTCATACAATTTAGAAAGCAAAACAAGAACAAATGAATGTAAATATATCTACATACATAGTACGACATAGCAACTATGGAATAGACAATGCTATACGTGATCTCTCATCCCCACAACTCTTCTGTTCTTCCAAACTTGTAGATCAGAGTACTAAAGGGGGGGGAAGAAAAAAAAAAATAATCAGACTGCACATAAGGTGGACAAAGGTAATCTTAATAGTATCCTTATAATCTTATACCACCTACACCACAAATCAACATCCCTCCCGCAACCTTAACTTTTATTCAAGTCAGTATCTGTTTTTTGTACTTACATTTCATTTACTATGCATCGCTAAAACTATGAGATCCAGCTGAAGCAACTGCTCCAATAAAAAAACATAGCTAGTCTCGTGGTAAAAGCAGCTGCCCTTCTGAAGGAAAAAAATCTGGTATTTAAGAGATTCGAGGACTGGATCCACAGAGTTACAGAGCAGCAAGCCTCATCCTGGCATCTGGCGATCAGCTGAACATAACACATCATGCTAGGATAGAATCTAACATTTTTATGAGCAAATCGGAAAGAATATTGATCCTGTGGTGGATAAGTGAAATCCAAATTACAATTTTATTTCCAAAATTCCCTTTATGAGGTTGGATGCAATTACATATTGTCACAAATAAAAAAAAAATGTTGAGGGAACAAAACCCAGCATGATTTCCTTATTGTTCCTTATACGTTAAATATTTTTTTTTTTCTTATAGCCAACAAACAGGTGGTAAAGAAGGGCACAGTCATACTAAATCATGAAAGAATGAAGAGGGAGGGAAATGAGAAATACTGACACTGAGAACAACAATAATAAGCAATGATAAGCAAAACAAACTAGACGCCTGGGCAATTAACTAGAGAAGAGAAGAGAACTACTAATACAGCACGTTAAACTAAGTAAAAAACCAGTAGAGTAACAACCAGGGCTGAAGCGCAAGTCCTGAAGGAGACACATGGTTCAGGGAATACAGACATCGTGGAACAACACTGATGGAAGAGAATCTGATTCAATCAAAACAAAAGTTTTGGATAAGGACACTGAGAAGGGCATCGCCGATTGACCCAGGTCTGGCCTAAGGAAAGGAGTCTAGGGCAATGGATGGACTTATCAGATGCTACTGCCTAAAGTGCATGGTGGGATAAAAAACAGACTTTTTTTTTTTAAATAAAAAGGTTGATAATTTGTCTCATAGTTCATGCCTAGAAAACAAATTTTAGAAGACAAAAGAAAACAAATAAACTTAAAATATATCTACATACAGAGTACAATAGAAACTAAGGAAAGACACTTTCAGAAACGAAAAGCAGCTTCAGAAATAAGTTCATCAAACTACTGAAATAAGACTAAAGATTTCAGGCATGGTGAAACTATTCTCAAAAGTCTGCCTTCATCAGTATTGCATTTCAATCATGTGCAAGACTACAGAAGAGATTTAGGAACTGCTGTTTTCTGCAAGAACATAACTGATTTTCCAAACAGGGAAGCACAGCGGAGCCAGTCAATCTGGCTCACTGCAAAGCATTTGATCCGGTACTAGAAGGAAAATTGTTAGCACAGTAATTTGAGTGGGTAAGAACTTGCAAAAGAGGAGGTTATGTGAACTTTTTCAGTGACTGATCTTGGAACTTACACTATTTAATGCTTTCATTGTCTTTTATTAATTAATTAAATTCATGGATTGCAGAACCATTATACATATAAGAAGAGTTAGTACAGATACAGATCGTTTCAAAGTGTCATATAATACACTTAATGATATTAAGTGAAATAAAAGAAATAGATTTAAGTGTAGTATTTCAAAACATACCATTATGCTCCTAGAAAAAAATTTATCACCCTCCATAACTGAAAGCTCAGCCAGTAGAAACAAATCTAGGTGTATCAATGATGAGATAATTGAGCCATTGGTATGAAATAGTCAGGAAAAGGGCAACAGGATCTCCTACCCTGTGCTGTTCAGATCTATGCCAAGGTATTTGTAGCACAGAGATGAAAGCATTATTGCCATTATCCAAAGACACTGACAATAGTCACCCAGAATACTGTCTATATCCTTGGTCATCCACATTCTAGAGCTGTAAATTCAGTGAGACCAGAAAGAGCTGGACTAACAGGAGCACGAGGGGAATGAAGAGCCTCTCATGGGCTGAGAAGGGGTAAGTAAAAGA